GCCTCCTTGCTCGCACAGTTCTGCCCAGAAATGTTCTATAGGTTTGAGGTCAGGGCTTTGTGATGGACACTCCAATACCTTGACTTTGTTGTCCTTAAGCCATTTTGACACAACTTTGGAAGTATGCTTGGGGTCGTTGTCCATTTGGAAGACCCATTTGTGACCAAGCTTTAACTTCCTGACTGATGTCTTGAGATGTTGCTTCAATATATCCACATAATTTTCCTTCTTCATGATTCTATCTATTTTGTGAAGTGCACCAGTCCCTCCTGCAGCAAAGCACCCCCACAGCATGATGCTGCCACCCCCGTGCTTCACGGTTGGGATGGTGTTCTTCGGCTTGCAAGCGTCCCCCTTTTTCCCCAGACATAATGATGGTCATTATGGCCAAACAGTTCTATTTTTGTTTCATCAGACCAGAGGACATTTCTCCAAAAAGTACGATCTTTGTGCACATGTGCAGTTGCAAACCATAGTCTGTCTTTTTTATGTCGGTTTTGGAGCAGTGGCTTCTTCCTTGCTGAGCGGCCTTTCAGGTTATGTCGATATAGGACTTGTTTTACTGTGGATATAGATACCTTTGTACCTGTTTCCTCCAGCATCTTCACAAGGTCCTTTGCTGTTGTTCTGGGATTGATTTGCACTTTTCGCACCAAAGTACATTCATCTCTAGGAGACAGAACGCGTCTCCATCCTGAGCGGCATGATGGCTGCGTGGTCCCATGGTTTTTATACTTGCATACTATTGTTTGTACAGATGAACGCGATACCATCAGGCATTTGGAAATTGCTCCCAAGGATGAACCAGACTTGTGGAGGTCTACAATATTCTTTCTGAGGTCTTGGCTGATTTCTTTTGATTTTCCCATGATGTCAAGCAAAGAGGCACTGAGTTTGAAGGTAGGCCTTATTACACATCCACAGGTACACCTCCAATTGACTCAAATGTTGTCAATTAGCCTATCAGAAGCTTCTAAAACCATGACAATTTTCCAAGCTGTTTAAAGGCACAGTCAACTCAGTGTATGTAAACGTCTAACCCACTGGAATTGTGATCCAGTGAATTATAAGTGAAATAATCTGTCTGTAAACAATTGTTGGAAAAATGACTTGTGTCATGCACAACGTAGATGTCCTAACCGACTTGCCAAAACTATAGTTTGTTAACAAGACATTTGTGGAGTGGTTGAAAAATGAGTTTTAATGACTCCAACCTAAGTGTATGTAAACTTCTGACTTCAACTGTATGTGGTACGTACACAAGGTTTATAAATGAGGCCTCTGAAAAACTGTAATATTCTATGTTTCTCGGAGTGTCTAGTTTGAGAAACAGACACCTCACAGGTCCTCAACTGGCAGCTTCATTAAATAGTACCCACAAAACACCAGTCTCAACATCAGAGTTGCAAAGAAAAAGTCCAGTGTCTCTGTTATTTTGCCCATCTTAATCTTTTATTTTTATTGGCCAGTCTGAGATATGGCTTTTTCTTTACAACTCTGCCTAGGTCAGCATACCGAAGTCGCCTCTTCTCTGTTGATGTTGAGACTGATGTTTTGCGGGTACTGATTATTGAAGCTGCCAGTTGAGGACCTGTGAGGCATCTGTTTCTCAAACTAGACACTCTAATGTATTTGTCCTCTTGCTCAGTTGTGCACCGGGGCCTCCCACTCCTCTTTCTATTCTGGTTAGAGCCAGTTTGCTCTGTTCTGTGAAGGGAGTAGTACACAGCATTGTACGAGATCTTCAGTTTCTTGGCAATTTCTCGCATGGAATATCCTTCATTTCTCAGAACAAGAATAGACTGACGAGTTTCAGAAGAAAGTTATTTGATTCCGGCCATTTTGAGCCTGTAATCGAACCCACAATTGCTGATGCTCCAGATTCTCAACTAGTCTCAAGAAGGCCAGTTGTATTGCTTCTTTAATCAGCACAACAGTTTTCAGCTGTGCTAACATAATTGCAAAAGGGATTTCTAATGATCAATTCGCCTTTTAAAATGATGAACTTGGATTAGCAAACACAACGTGCCATTGGAACACAGGACTGATGGTTGCTGATAATGGGCCTCTGTAAGCCTATGTAGATATTCCATTAAAAATCAGCCGTTTCCAGCTACAATAGCAATTTACAACATTAACAATGTCTATTTTGATGTTATTTTAATGGACAAAATAATTTATTTTCTTTCGAAAACAAGGAAATGTCTAAGTGACCCCAAACTTTTGAACGGTATTGTATATGTACATATCTACCGTACCTCAATTACCTCGTAAGCCGGCACATCAACTCAGAACTGGTACCCTGTGTATATACTCAAGTTATCGTTACTCATCATGCATTTATTCCTCGTGTTATTATTATTTGTATGTTTTTCTCTCTGCATTGTTGGAAAGGGCCTGTAACTGAGCATTTCACACAACTGTTCTTTATGAAGCATGTGACAAATAAACTGTTATTTGATTTGAATTTTGATTTTGATTTATGTGTTCAGGAATCTGTTGCTGGTTGGAATTAATGACTTGCATCCCCGGTTTGATGTAATGTTTGTGTGTTCTGTGAATGTGTGTATTTCTTGCCTGCAGTTGTGTTCTTGAATGCCTGACTTTAGTCCAGCCATGGCTGTGCCATCTGCAAATTTGATGGTGTGGCTTTGTGTAATTTGTGTACAATGTGAAGAAGACTGGTGAAATGACACGTCCTTGCGGTACACCTGTGTTGTTGGGTATGGAAGGGGAAAGGTTAGAGTTCACCCTCACTGTTTGACTGCGGTTATTCAGGAAGCTGTCGACCCATCTGATGATGGAGCTGTTGACTTCCATGTCAATGAGTTTCTGCAACAGGTGATGTGGTTGAATGGTGTTGAATGCTGAAGAGAAGTCCAGGCATATGATTTTGGTATGTCCAGCTGCTGGTGAAGGATGTTCAGGAGGAATAATAAATAGAGTGTCCTCCATGCTCCGCCCTGCTTTGTAGGTGAATTGAAGGGGTCCAACAGCTGTTCTGTGTATGATAAAACAATTATCTCTATTGACGTGAGGGCAACAGGTATATAATTGTTGAGGACTTTCGGTCTAGGGATCTTAGGGAATTCTCACAGCTGATTTCCATAATGATCTGATCTGGTGATAGTCAAGGGACATTTTGAGAGCTTGTGACTATAAGGTTCTATCTGCATTTTTGTCCAAATTGAGTTATTGACATAGTCTTGTTCTGTTCAATGTTCTCTACCTACAGTGCCTTCAGAAAATATTCACACCCCTTGACTTTTTCTACATTTTGTTGTGTTACAGCCTGAATTTAACACACACACACACACACACACTCACACACACCAAGCAGTCTGATAAACCCACTCTTCCTAGATGGAATCTATGAGTGGAATCTTAAGAGTGCATGATGAGAAAGCCCATTAAAGTGATTTTTGCATGCAATTATCCCAATTACAGCAGACGCCAAAACAATCCTCCATAATGCCTCCTCCAACACCCACCAATGTTTCTCTCTAGAGGAAGTGTTAGTTTAGATGGATGCTGAAAAACAATAATAATAGTCCAATTTTAGCATACACTTTTATCCAAAGTGACCTAGAATTAACTCATATATTCAGTATGTATGGTAGCACATGCAAGAATCAAACCAACAACCTCAGTATTTTTATCAGCGCCATTCTCCATCCAACTAAACCATCTTAACCAACAATGTATATTGTTTTGGAATATAGTGGCCTGTAGGGATCAAGCTTATTGAAAAATGAAAAGCTTTTGGGATCCAAGCAGTTTGTTGATATTGAAGTGGGACTGCAGGTGGCATCTGGCTTTAGGGTAATGATCACCAAAGGAAGTAATAATTACACTAACTACCCTGTTGTTCATCAGTATAAAAAGACCAGACTATTTCTTTCCAACAATCCCTCTCTCTTTATGTGCCAGCAGAGAAATACAGCAAACACCAGTGATCTTAGAGTAGTCCTTGGATTACAGAAGCTTAACTGACCATTCCAACAATACCAAGAGGCAAAGTAACAGTAAGTACTCTAACAGTTTACCCACTAGCGGGATGGAGATCATGTCACTGATGTAACTAACTACAGATTGGGGAACTCATTCCACTCATTCCATTCTGGCATACTGAGCACTCACAGCAGTGCTTGGTGTGTTTGGTGTGTGTGTTATCAGGGGGAATAGGTGCATGGTAGAGAGGCTCGTGGCTCACAATCCAGATTGGATGTTCTCTGGTTACTAGCTGATGGGTATTCATGTTGGCTGCTCCACATGGAGCTACACCTGCTTTCTATGTCTATCTGGTGAATCTCTTTAGAGCAATGACTCTAATCAGACCCATCAGTATGTCTGTCTGTCTGATCTATCTAATCCTACAGCAGCTGGCCAATAGGTCATGATATTAAACATTACTGTTTGATAAGTAAGGTAGGACAATACTGGCCATTTAATTCATTTGATGATTACATCAACAACCGGTGTGCATGATACACCATAGAAATAAACATTGAACAGATTGATTGTGTGTTATGTAGTGTGAGTGAGTAAGCAGAAATATGTTGAAGGCAAATAACCATGTGTCATCAGGTCGGTGCAGATTAAACAAATGTGAAGTGATGTTTTAGTAAACTTCATGACGCACATCCTGAAACAGTGCTCTCCCACTTCCAACATTTGAGCACCTGGATCCAAACATTTCATTTTGCAGTCATTGGACGGGTCAATACATTGATCCACAGGCCGTGGCCTTGCTCATGACTGACCCATCAGCATACTGAATATAGGTAGGAGGTTTAGATCTGAGCACTTTCCTAGAAAACTATGTTTAGAGCTGTAGGTGTACATGTTCGTTAGCTAAAAAGTAGCTGTGAAGATGAATTTCTACATCAGAGGACAGTCTAAATTTGATATAATTTATTTTGATGTCATGTGATCAATAATCAGGAGAGGTACTTTCTTATATGCTTCTATTCAATTATCCCATTCATGTGAGTAGAACCATGAAGACCAGACTAGGCTGCCTGTCCAATAAGTCTGACTCCTACCCTGACTTCACTGAGTTCCTGCCCCCTGACCAGGACAGGGCCACCAGATGCCTAAAGTAAGACATTTTAATCAGATTACATGGTGCCAGTCTCTTCCATTGATATAGAATGTAGGTATTATTACTCACAATGCTAGAAATATGTAATATATAAAGGATTACCCGATAGATGGTGTAGACTCTTTTAGAGCAACCTCTAAAACTGTTAATGTGTGTGTGTTGAATTGCCTTGAACTGCATGCATGGTTGCATACACATTTGAAAACATGTCACTGTATCTCTCTGTCTTTTCTTTAAGGCTGTCAAAAGATGAAGTCGTTCCATGGGCAGATTCCTTCGATGTTCTTCTGTCGCACAAGTGTAAGTCCCTTTTTATTTACAAGTAACAGTTGATCCTTCTCTTTAGAGTTAGATATGAGAAATTGAAGCAAAATATGGAGGAAACAATATTTTAACCTTTTATCAACCAACCCCCCCAAAAAACTGTGTCCATGCCATTGTTAGGGAACTGTTAGAAGCAAACCAGGCAACTATACAGATTACATTTTTTCCTCAGTCCCATTCTATATCCCTTCTGTTCCCTTTGAAAACATGATTGCCTCTCTATTTCCTTTCACAAGATGATTGTCTTTCTGTTTTCTATCTGAGGATGGCTCCCCACATCAGTCCATTTCTCTCCCCCTAAACCCTTCTTATGTAAGATCCCCTGTCTGTCTGGTTATTGATGTGTGACTCATTGTGTGACTCCTCAACACACAATGAGTCACACTCTTGGTTGTGACCTCCTTTGTGGATTACACAATAACGCACGGAGGAGATGGCTGCAGTTTTACGGGTTCCCAACCAATTGCACTATTGTGTGTGTTTTTTCGCGTTATTTTTTCTTTAACGAGTCGGACGCGAAGGATTTACTTCAGACACCCGACAAGGCCCAAATCCCCGTCATTCGCAGGAGAAAGAGACTGAGATATCGGGGACGTAGGTCGGGGTGCCTTATAAGGATCCGACGGCGAGTGTGTAATCTGCCTCTACCATCAGTCCTATTAGATAACATACAATCATTGGATAACAAAATAGACGCGCTACGATCACGAATATCCTACCAACGAGACATTAATATGCTTCACCGAGTCGTGGCTGAACGACGACATGGATAACATACAGCTGGCGAGGTTTACGCTGCATCGGCAAGATAGAACAGTCGCCTCCGGTAAGACAAGGGGTGGCGGTCTGTGTATATTTGTAAACAACAGCTTGTGCATGAAATCTAATATTAAGGAAGTCTCGAGGTTTGCTCGCCTGAGGTAGAGTATCTCACTATAAGCTGTAGACCAAACTATTTACCAAGAGAGTTTTCATCTATATTTTTCGTAGCTGTCTATTTACCACCACAAACCGATGCTGGCACTAAGACCGCACTCAATGAGCTGTATAAGGCCATGAGCAAACAGGAAAACGCTCATCCACAGGTGGCACTCCTAGTGGCCAGGGGACTTTAATGCAGGGAAACTTAAATCCATTTTACCTCATTTCTACCAGCATGTTAAATGTGCAACCAGAGGAAAAAAAACTCTTGACCACCATTTTCTCCACACACAGAGACGCGTACAAAGCTCTCCCTCGCCCTCCATTTGGCAAATCTGACCATAATTATATCCTCCTGATTCCTGCTTACAAGCAAAAACTAAAGCAGGAAGCACCAGTGACTCGGTCAATAAAGAAGTGGTGACGCAGATGCTAAGCTAGACTGGAATATGTTCCGGGATTCTTCCGATGGCATTGAGGAGTACACCACATCAGTCACTGACTTAATCAATAAGTGCATCGATGACGTCCAGAAGCCATGGATTACAGGCAACATCCGCACTGAGCTTAAGCGTAGAGCTGCCGCTTTCAAGGAGTGGGACTGTAACCCGGACGCTTACAAGAAATCCCGCTATGCCCGTCACACAGGCAAAGCGTCAATACAGGACTAAGATGGAATCGTACTACACCGGCTCCGACACTCGTCGGATGTGACAGGGCTTGCAAACTATTACAGACTACAAAGGGAAGCACAGCCGCGAGCTGCCCAGTGACACAAGCCTACCAGATGAGCTAAATAACTTCTATGCTCGATTCGAGGCAAGCAACACTGAAGCATGCATGAGAGCATCAGCTGTTCCGGACGACTGTGTGATCATGCTCTCCGTAGCCGATGTGAGTAAGACCATTTAACAGGTCAACATTCACAAGGCCACAAGGCCAGACGGATTACCAGGACGTGTACTCCGAGCATGCGCTGACCAACTTGCAAGTGACTTCACTGACATTTTCAACCTGTCCCTGACTGAGTCTATAATACCAACATGTTTCAAACAGACCACCATAGTCCCTGTGCCCAAGAACACTAAGGTAACCTGCCTAAATGACTACAGACACCGTAGCACTCATGTCTGTAGCCATGAAGTGCTTTGAAAGGCTGGTCATAGCTCACATCAACACCATTATCACAGAAACCCTAGACCCACTCCAATTTGCATACCGCCCCAACAGATCTACAGATGGTGCAATCTCTTTTGCACTCCATACTGCCCTTTCCCACCTGGACAAAAGGAACACCTACATTAAAATGCTATTCATTGACTACAGCTCAGCGTTAAATACCACAGTGCCCTCAAAACTCATCACTAAGCTGAGGACCCTGGGACTCATCACAAAGCTCATCACAAAGCTCAGTCCCCTCCTGTACTCCCTGTTCACCCATGACTGCATGGCCAGGCATGACTCCAACACCATCATTAAGTTTGCCGACGAAACAACAGTGGTAGGCCTGATCACCGACAACGATGAGACAGCCTATAGGGAGGAGGTCAGAGACCTGGCCGTGATGATTGTGGACTACAGGAAAAGGAGGACCGAGCACGCCCCCATTCTCATCGACGGGGCTGTAGTGGAGCAGGTTGAGAGCTTCAAGTTCCTTGGTGTCCACATCACCGACAAACTATCATGGTCCAAACACACCAAGACAGTCGTGAAGAGGGCACGACAAAGCCTATTCCCCCTCAGGAGAATGAAAAGATTTGGCATGGGTCCGCAGATCCTCAAAGATTTCTACAGCTGCATCCTGACTTTTTGCATCACTGCCTGGTATGGCAACTGCTCAGCCTCCGACCGCAAGGCACTACAGAGGGTAGTACGTACGACCCAATACATCACTGGGGCAAAGCTTCCTGCCATCCAAGACCTCTATACCAGGCAGTGTCAGAGGAAGGCCCTAAAAATGGTCAAAGACTCCAGCCACCCTAGTCATAGACTGTTCTCTCTGCTACCGCATGGCAAGCGGTACCGGAGCACCAAGTCTAGGTCCAAAAGGCTTCTTAACAGCTTCTATCCCCTAGCCATAAGACGCCTGAACAGCTAATCAAATGGCTACCCATGTATTTTCATCATAGGTACACGTGAACTATGACAGACAAAATGAGAAAAAAATTACCAGAAAATCACATTGTAGGATTTTTTATGAATTTATTTGCAAATTATGGTGGAAAATAAGTATTTGGTCAATAACAAAAGTTTCTCAATACTTTGCTATATACCCTTTGTTGGCAATGACACAGGTCAAACGTTTTCTGTAAGTCTTCACAAGGTTTTCACACACTGTTGCTGGTATTTTGGCCCATTCCTCCATGCAGATCTCCTCTAGAGCAGTGATGTTTTGGGGCTGTCGCTGGGCAACACGGACTTTCAACTCCCTCCAAAAATTTTCTATGGGTTTGAGATCTGGAGACTGGCTAGGCCACTCCAGGACCTTGAAATGCTTCTTACGAAGCCACTCCTTCGTTGCCCGGGCGGTGTGTTTGGGATCATTGTCATGCTGAAAGACCCAGCCACGTTTCATCTTCAATGCCCTTGCTGATGGAAGGAGGTTTTCACTCAAAATCTCACGATACATGGCCCCATTCATTCTTTCCTTTACACGGATCAGTCGTCCTGGTCCCTTTGCAGAAAAACAGCCCCAAAGCATGATGTTTCCACCCCCATGCTTCACAGTATGTATGGTGTTCTTTGGATGCAAATCAGCATTCTTTGTCCTCCAAACACGACGAGTTTTTACCAAAAGGTTATATTTTGGTTTCATCTGACCATATGACATTCTCCCAATCCTCTTCTGGATCATCCAAATGCACTCTAGCAAACTTCAGATGGGCCTGGACATGTACTGGCTTAAGCAGGGAGACACGTCTGGCACTGCAAGATTTGAGTCCCTGGCAGCGTAGTGTGTTACTGATGGTAGGCTTTGTTACTTTGGTCCCAGCTCTCTGCAGGTCATTCACTAGGCCCCCCCGTGTGGTTCTGGGATTTTTGCTCACCGTTCTTGTGATCATTTTGACCCCACGGGCTGAGATCTTGCGTGGAGCCCCAGATCGAGGGAGATTATCAGTGGTCTTGTATGTCTTCCATTTCCTAATAATTGCTCCCACAGTTGATTTCTTCAAACCAAGCTGCTTACCTATTGCAGATTCAGTCTTCCCAGCCTGGTGCAGGTCTACAATTTTGTTTTTGGTGTCCTTTGACAGCTCTTTGGTCTTGGCCATAGTGGAGTTTGGAGTGTGACTGTTTGAGGTTGTGGACAGGTGTCTTTTATACTGATAACAAGTTAAAACAGGTGCCATTAATACAGGTAACGAGTGGAGGACAGAGGAGCCTCTTAAAGAAGAAGTTACAGGTCTGTGAGAGCCAGAAATCTTGCTTGTTTGTAGGTGACCAAATACTTATTTTCCACCATAATTTGCAAATAAATTCATTAAATATCCTACAATGTGATTTTCTGGATTTTTTTTCCTCAATTTGTCTGTCATAGTTGACGTGTACCTATGATGAAAATTACAGGCCTCTCTCATCTTTTTAAATGGGAGAACTTGCACAATTGGTGGCTGACTAAATACTTTTTTCCCCCACTGTACGTCATTTAGCAGACGCTCTTATCCAGAGCGACTTACAAATTGGTGCATTCACCTTATAGCCAGTGGGATAACCACTTTACAATATGTTTTTTTTTTTTTTTTTGGGGGGGAGGGGGGTAGGGGGTAGAAGGATTACTTAATACTTTTCCAGGTATTCCTTAAAGAGGTGGGGTTTCAAGTGACTCCGCTGTCCTGGCATCGTGAGGGAGCTTGTTCCACCATTGGGGTGCCAGAGCAGCGAACAATTTTGACTAGGCTGAGCGGGAACTGTGCTTCCGCAGAGGTAGGGGGGCCAGCAGGCCAGAGGTGGATGAACGCAATGCCCTCGTTTGGGTGTAGGGACTGATCAGAGCCTGAAGGTACGGAGGTGCCGTTCCCCTCACAGCTCCAAAGGCAAGCACCATGGTCTTGTAGCAGATGCAAACTTTAACTGGAAGCCAGTGGAGTGTGCGGAGGAGCGGGGTGATGTGAGAGAACTTCAGAAGGTTGAACACCAGACGGGCTGCGGCATTCTGGATGAGTTGTAGGGGTTTAATGGCACAGGCAGGGAGCCCAGCCAACAGCGAGTTGCAGTAATCCAGACGGGAGATGACAAGTGCCTGGATTAGTACCTGTGCCGCTTCCTGTGTAAGGCAGGGTCGTACTCTCAGAATGTTGTAGAGCATGAACCTACAGGATCGGGTCACCGCCTTGATGTTAGCGGAGAACAACAGGGTGTTGTCCAGGGTCACGCCAAGGCTCTTTGCACTCTGGGAGGAGGACACAACAGAGTTGTCAACCGTGATGGCGAGATCATGGAACGGGCATTCCTTCCCCAGGAGGAAGAGCAGCTCCGTCTTGCCGAGGTTCAGCTTGAGGTGGTGATCCGTCATCCACACTGATATGTCTGCCAGACATGCAGAGATGCGATTCGCCACCTGGTTATCAGAAAGGGGAAAGGAGAAGATTAGTTGTGTGTCATCTGCGTAGCAGTCAATGTACTGGTACATTGACTCTGTACCAGTACCCCCGTATATAGTCTCCTGAGTGGCGCAGTGGTCTAAGGCACTGCATCGCAGTGCTAACTGTGCCACTAGAGATCCTGGTTCTACCGCGACCGGGGAGACTCATGGGCGGCGCACAATTGGCCCAGCGTCGTCCAGGGTAGGGGAGGGAATGGCCGGCAGGGATGTAGCTCAGTTGATAGAGCATGGCGTTTGCAACGCCAGGGTTGTGGGTTCGATTCCCACGGGGGGCCAGTATAAAAAAAAAAAAAAGTATTCATTAACTGTAAGTTGCTCTGGATAAGAGCGTCTGCTAAATGACGTAAATGTAAAATATAGCCTCGCTACTGTTATTTTACTGCTGCACTTTTTTTCTTGACCTTTTTTTTTTTTACTTATCAATTTTTTACTTAACACTTATTTTTCTTAAAACCGCATTGTTGGTTAAGGGCTTGTAAGTAAGCATTTCACTGTAAGGTCTCCACCGGAGCATGTGACAAATAACATTTTATTTGATGTGCAAATACACACATGCAAACACACACACACTCACAAGCACACACATATGGTTCACGTGCAGGCACACACACACGTGACAGGTTAAGTGTGTTCATAATCACAGGCTGTCTGAGGTATCCATCTGGAGGGTCTGTCAGTGTTCTCTCTCTCTCTCTCACTCACACATACACTCTCACTAGAGAACCTGACAAAAAGGACAGAAAAGGCTGTGAAAGCTTTAGGCTCTCCACAGGGAGTGGAAAATTAGACTGCACAGTAGGAAGACAGACGACCGACCTTGACTTTAGTTCTAGTTATTTTTTATTTTTTATTTTGCAGTGTGTCAATGAACAACAACTTGCTGTGTTTTAATATTACTAGTTGTTCCTGGTTTTCTCTCTCTTTTTTGTACTGCCTTCACTGTTTCTGGCTTTCATAATTGCCTCAGGCTCTGTTCCTTTAGTGTTCCTGAAATGCAACCTAAAAGTCTTAAACGTTCTGTTGACTTTTTGTGTTGTTTTCTTGTCAGGATACCTAATAGTTTAATAAAGTCATTATATAATATGTTGTCCAAACTAGAGATACACGCACAACTCAAGTCATACGGTAGTGTTATCTTAATGGGCATTTGTAATGTCATGCGTGCATGTTTCAAATTAGCATTTGTCTCTATTGAGTTAATCAAGCATAGTATACAGTATACTGTAGACCCTACTACTAACTCTTTAACAGGTGGTGCAGTTGTATAACATAGACAAATTGGTGTAAACTTCAATCATGGTTTGGCGTCACATCCACACGTAACCTCTTATGAACCTAGCTGCTTGAAAGTCTAGGGTCTCAGTCTGCTTGTTCCTGGAAATGACTAATATTATCCTCAGACAGAAGGGGACAAAGGCAAACACGTCTGTAACCGGTTTTGGCAAACACAAATGAGTAAAGAGACCTTGAAGCTGAACTAAATCCATGTCTACGTTTTTCAATATTAACTTAGAATCTTTACATGTACGTCAGCTCTCTCTGTGTAGTGTGTTTCTGCATTCTGTAAGGAAAATCGAATGAGAGTGAGAAATTAACACTGACCTGCAGTACATTCACTACCAAATCATAGCATATTCCTAAAGAGACTAATTAATAGCCTATTCCTAAAGAGGCTAATTAAAACCTCTACAAATCTAAGCTAAGATATGTAATTGTTTTAAGATGGTGATACGATGGATAATTGAGCTATTTGATTTAGAATTTTAGCATGCCTTTAGGTAAAAGAAAGTTACAATTAAACATTATTTGATAGAATATTGAATTTGGCCTTTACTACTATAGCCCATAGAAACGCATTGAAAAACACATTCATAAATGGCAAAAAGGACAGTCATAAGGAATACGGTCATAAGTAATAAGGTTTTGAAGTGTCTGTCCTATATCTAGGAGATATAAGAAAGTTCAGGATTATTATTTTTGGGGGACACATATTTAAGAATAAAGCAGGGCGAGAAAATCTTCCTCCAAGCAAAGTTCAATGACTTAGAGGTCTGCTTTTTATTTTGAACACTGTCTGTTGACAAGGCTGCATGCAGTCACAGTGTCCCTGGTGATTTTCATATAACCAGTGTGTAGTGAGAGTGTGTGAGTAATGTTGGTGATAGGGCTGGACTCCTCTACTGCTGCTGCTGGGCAAATGTTAAGCCAAATAAAGAGGGAGGGAGGGAGGGAGGGAGGGAGGGAGAGGGAGAGGGGAGGAGGGAGAGAAAGTATGGAGAAAACATGTTCACATGACACGGCCGATTGCAAAACATGACCTCCTTCTGTGTTATCATTGATGTCAGACAAATTGATCACTTATCTTTGATTGATGAAGACAGACAGCTCATTGAAGGTTTGTGGGCCATATGTTTATGTTCTAATCACAAAGCTGTTTCCTGTGCTGAGAACAAGAGCACGCTCTGCATCTCAGACATTATCATTGCATGATAAACAACCCTGTTAGTATCATGTGAACTACAGCTGCTCTCTGTAGAAAAAAAGCACATAAGTTCCAAAGAAACTGGCCCATGTTCAGAAATAGGTACTGGGATACAATACAGATCTTTGTAATGACACACACACACACTCTCTCTCTCTCTCTCTCTCTCTCTCTCTCTCTCTCTCTCTCTCTCTCTCTCTCTCTCTCTCTCTCTCTCTCTCTCTCTCTCTCTCTCTCTCTCTCTCTCTCTCTCTCTCTCTCACACACACACACACTTGCTGTCCGTTAGCTCTTCTAACTGGCTGATGGATGTTTTGTGTCTTAGATGGCCTGGCTGCCTTCCGGGCTTTTCTCAAGACGGAGTTCAGCGACGAGAACATTGAGTTCTGGATGGCCTGCGAGGAATATAAAAAAATCAAGACTCCTGCTAAATTGATGAACAAAGCTAACAAGATCTACAATGAGTTTATCGATGTGAAGGCTCCCAGAGAGGTTTGTGTTCGATCAACTGACTAATGATGCAAAATATTCACTTTGTCTCTTTTAAGGCCAGACACCACACCCTAATAGGGTCATATCACAATCAACTTTTGCGAGTTGAATGCGGACACAAATATAATACTTTTTTTATTAAATATTTTCTGAAATATTGTATTGAAATATGCAAATTATGTGTTCTAATTAAATATTTGCATATAACACAAATAAATGTTTCTGGACACTGAATGAAGACAGACTAAATAATTTTGTTTCATTTTGTTAAGACACTCCATGACTGGACTTACGCATAGACGATTGTGGATAAATTTTTCTATCTGTAAAATATTAAGGAAAGGTACGTAAAATGCCTTTTTGGCGCATTTTTCAGAAGAAAATGTAATCTAGTAAATAAATCTTCAAAGTAAGTTACTACATATAGGCCAGTTTGTAACATTCTCTATGAAATGGGCTTTTAAATTATGTGTGATTAAATGAGCTTTGAAATTATTTGTAAAAGTGGTTACAATTCATGACTTTTTGATGAGTAAGATAAACTAATGAAAATATTAATATTAATGGACCAAAATACCAAAACATTTCTAAATTGATAAGCACTGTACAGTGGGGAAAAAAAGTATTTAGTCAGCCACCAATTGTGCAAGTTCTCCCACTTAAAAAGATGAGAGAGGCCTGTAATTTTCATCATAGGTACACGTCAACTATGACAGACAAATTAAGAAAAATCCAGAAAATCACACTGTAGGATTTTTAATGAATTTATTTGCAGATTATGGTGGAAAATAAGTATTTGGTCACCTACAAACAAGCAAGATTTCTGGCTCTCACAGACCTGTAACTTCTTCTTTAAGAGGCTCCTCTGTCCTCCACTCGTTACCTGTATTAATAGCACCTGTTTGAACTTGTTATCAGTATAAAAGACACCTGTCCACAACCTCAAACAGTCACACTCCAAACTCCACTATGGCCAAGACCAAAGAGCTGTCAAAGGACACCAGAAACAAAATTGTAGACCTGCACCAGGCTGGGAAGACTGAATCTGCAATAGGTGAGCAGCTTGGTTTGAAGAAATCAACTGTGGGAGCAATTATTAGGAAATGGAAGACATAAAAGTCCACTGATAATCTCCCTCGATCTGGGGCTCCACGCAAGATCTCACCCGTGGGGTCAAAATGATCACAAGAACGGTGAGCAAAAATCCCAGAACCACACAGGGGGACCTAGTGAATGACCTGCAGAGAGCTGGGACCAAAGTAACAAAGCCTACCATCAGTAACACACTACGCCGCCAGGGACTCAAATCCTGCAGTTCCAGACGTGTCCCCCTGCTTAAGCCAGTACATGTCCAGGCCCGTCTGAAGTTTGCTAGAGTGCATTTGGATGATCCAGAAGAGGATTGGGAGAATGTCATATGGTCAGATGAAACCAAAATATAACTTTTTGGTAAAAACTCAACTCGTCGTGTTTGGAGGACAAAGAATGCTGAGTTGCATCCAAAGAACACCATACCTACTGTGAAGCATGGGGGTGTAAACATCATGCTTTGGGGCTGTTTTTCTGCAAAGGGACCAGGACGACTGATCCGTGTAAAGGAAAGAATGAATGGGGCCATGTATCGTGAGATTTTGAGTGAAAACCTCCTTCCATCAGCAAGGGCATTGAAGATGAAACGTGGCTGGGTCTTTCAGCATGACAATGATCCCAAACACACCGCCCGGGCAACGAAGGAGTGGCTTCGTAAGAAGCATTTCAAGGTCCTGGAGTGGCCTAGCCAGTCTCCAGATCTCAACCCCATAGAAAATCTTTGAGGGAGTTGAAAGTCCGTGTTGCCCAGCGACAGCCCCAAAACATCACTGCTCTAGAGGAGATCTGCATGGAGGAATGGGCCAAAATAGTCTGTGAAAACCTTGTGAAGACTTACAGAAAACGTTTGACCTGTGTCATTGCCAACAAAGGGTATATAACAAAGTATTGAGAAACTTTTGTTATTGACCAAATACTTATTTTCCACCATAATTTGCAAATAAAATCATAAAAAATCCTACAATGTGATTTTCTGGATTTTTTTTTCTCATTTTGTCCGTCATAGTTGACGTGTACCTATGATGAAAATTAAAGGCCTCTCTCATCTTTTTAAGTGGGAGAACTTGCACAATTGGTGGCTGACTAAATACTTTTTTTCCCCACTGTATATGTAAAAATGTCATTTCAGTCTGTGGTGCCTGGCCTTCAATGCAAACGGCTATAGGTTTGTTTTTTATCTGGGGTTACTACGTGTCAGATTCAATTTTTATATCCACAACCTCCCAATATTACTGATAGGTACACATGCCTACTGTATGCATACTTTTATTATATGGATTAATACTAATGTTGATGCTGTCCACAAACAAGTGTTTCATAGGAAATTCACACTAAGAAGATTTGGATATCTAACATTTATTTTCCCTTCCTTGGTCCCTGTAGGTAAACATAGACTTCCGTACGCGGGAGGTGATGAAGCAGAGCCTTACGGAGCCCACCCCCTCCAGTCTGAATGAGGTACAGGCCAGGGTCCACAGCCTCATGGAGAAAGACTCTTACCCACGCTTTCTCCACTCCAAGATCTACCAGGACTTACTCAACACGCAGTACACACACTGCCAACGGAACTCTGTCTGAAGATCACAGACATGCGCCGTCGCAGATACACATACGCACACAAACACGCACATGCACATGCACACACACACACACAAAGAGTTGTGTTTGTCTTCAGTAGCTAGAACCCAATGAACCATTATTCCTCAAGTTCTAACTTGAAATCTCTATGCGCATCTCAATAACTCAAGTCTCCCATTGATATATTGAATCATGTGAAAGTTTTTGGGTTATCCGTACAATTATCAAATTAGGATTCTCCTCTCACAGAGCGATTCTTAGTATTTAGACATATTGTATCATCCTTCTTAGAACTGTGTCAATATAGTTTACACTTAGAAAACTAAATACCACAAGACTTTGTACTGTGTATCCTTTTATTACTCTTATTAGAAAATGTGTTGTTGTTGATTATATGTTTTTCTCCTATCACTATAGTTCATTTTGGTGTCGATACACTACCGTTCAAAAGTTTGGCGTCACTTAGAAATGTCCTTATTTTCTAAAGAAAAGCAATTTTTTTGTCCATTAAAATAACATCAAATTGATCAGAAATACAATGTAGATTGTTAATGTTGTAAATGGCTATTGTAGCTGGAAACGGCAGATTTTTTATGGAATATCTACATAGGCTTACAGAGGCCCATTATCAGCAACCATCAGTCCTGTGTTCCAATGGCATGTTGTGTTTGCTAATCCAAGTTTATCATTTTAAAAGGCTAATTGATCATTAGAAAACCATTTTGCAATTATGTTAGCACAGCTGAAAACTTTTGTGCTGATTATAGAACTACTTGAGTATCTGGAGCATCAGCAATTGTGGGTTCAATTACAGGATCAAAATGGCCAGAAACAAATAACTTTCTTCTGAATCTTGTCAGTCTATTCTTGTTCTGAGAAATTAAGGCTATTCCATGTGAGAAATTATCAAGAAACTGAAGATCTCATACAACGCTGTGTACTACTCCCTTCACAGAACAGCGCAAACTGGCTCTAACCAGAATAGAAAGAGGAGTGGGAGGCCCCGGTGCACAACTGAGCAAGAGGACAAATACATTAGAGTGTCTAGTTTGAGAAACAGACGCCTCACAGGTCCTCAACTGGCAGCTTCATTAACTAGTACCCGCTAAAACACCAGTCTCAATGTCAACAGTGAAGAGACGACTCCGGGATGCTAACCTAGGCAGAGTTGCAAAGAAAAAGTCCAGTGTCTGTGTTCTTTTGCCCATCTTAATCTTACATTTTTATTGGCCAGTCTGAGATATGGTTTTTGTATTACATTTTTGCAGCAGTTCATGTGATATATACAGTATATGTGGGCGATTCTACATAAGTGGTGCAAATTGTGGGTTGGAAAAAAATCTAATCAGTATCATATTTTCCCTAAACTTTCAGCACACGTCTTACAACAGATAGACATATCTCCTACTCATACACTTTGTTTGTATTGCACATTCGAAATGTTTACCTGAATTCCATACCACCCCACTAAATCTGTCACCACCAAAACATAGAGAAAGAAAAATCCAGAAAATCACATTGTAGGTGGAAATTATGGTGGAAAATAAGTATTTGGTCACCTACAAACAAGCAAGATTTCTGGCTCTCACAGACCTGTAACTTCTTCTTTAAGAGGCTCCTCTGTCCTCCACTCGTTACCTGTATTAATGGCACCTGTTTGAACTTGTTATCATTATAAAAGACACCTGTCCACAACCTCAAACAGTCACACTCCAAACTACACTATGGCCAAGATCAAAGAGCTGTCAAAGGACACCAGAAACTAAATTGTAGACCTGCACCAGGCTGGGAAGACTGAATCTGCAATAGGTAAGGAGCTTGGTTTGAATAAATCAACTGTGAGAGCAATTATTAGGAAATGGAAGACATACAAGACCACTGATAATCTCCCTCGATCTGGGGCTCCACGCAAGATCTCACCCCGTGGGGTCAAAATGATCACAAGAACGGTGAGCAAAAATCCCAGAACCACACGGGGGGACCTAGTGAATGACCTGCAGAGAGCTGGGACCAAAGTAACAAAGCCTACCATCAGTAACACACTACGCCGCCAGGGACTCAAATCCTGCAGTGCCAGACGTGTCCCCCTGCTTAAGCCAGTACATGTCCAGGCCCTTCTGAAGTTTGCTAGAGTGCATTTGGATGATCCAGAAGAGGATTGGGAGAATGTCATATGGTCAGATGAAACCAAAATAGAACTTTTTGGTAAAAACTCAACTCGTCTTGTTTGGAGGACAAAGAATGCTGAGTTGCATCCAAAGAACACCATACCTACTGTGAAGCATGGGGGTGGAAACATCATGCTTTGGGGCTGTTTTTCTGCAAAGGGACCAGCACGACTGATCCGTGTAAAGGAAAGAATGAATGGGGCCATGTATCGTGAGATTTTGAGTGAAAACCTCCTTCCATCAGCAAGGGCATTGAAGATGAAACGTGGCTGGGTCTTTCAGCATGACAATGATCCCAAACACACCGCCCGGGCAACGAAGGAGTGGCTTCGTAAGAAGCATTTCAAGGTCCTGGAGTGGCCTAGCCAGTCTCCAGATCTCAACCCCACAGAAAATCTTTGGAGGGAGTTGAAAGTCCGTGTTGCCCAGCGACAGCCCCAAAACATCACTGCTATAGAGGAGATCTGCATGGAGGAATGGGCCAAAATACCAGCAACAGTGTGTGAAAACCTTGTGAAGACTTACAGAAAACGTTTGACCTGTGTCATTGCCAACAAAGGGTATTATAACAAAGTATTGAGAAACTTTTGTTATTGACCAAATACTTATTTTCCACCATAATTTGCAAATACATTCATTAAAAATCCTACAATGTGATTTTCTGGATTTTTTTTCTCATTTTGTTTGTCATAGTTGACGTGTACCTATGATGAAAATTACAGGCCTCTCTCATCTTTTTAAGTGGGAGAACTTGCACAATTGGTGGCTGACTAAATACTTTTTTCCCCCACTGTATACATTCAGAACTGAATTGCTTACTTAATTGATACTATATCTAATGGGGTGCATGTTATTGCCATATATTATTATCACAATTAATTACAAAATATGTTAAGAAATAGCGATATATGGAAGACTAGTCTAGATGGATATAACCATTTGTAGTATGGACATAGCTGTTGAGGGCTTCCACCATTTTAAAGTAGTGAACTGGTAGAGGAATCCAATGGGTTGGTAGCGATCAGCCAATGATCAGAGAGCAGTGTCTTATTCAAATTGGTTTGTCCTTGGTTTGTAAACCAAAAACTAAGGTATGGTTCGAGATCATGAGCCAAGGACAAAGTATAAACCAAGACATTGGTCCCAAGATCCAGACCCAGTGAGTTGAGACCTGGATCAGTTAAAGACCGAATTTGCATGGTCTTGAGTGATCTCAAGGCTACTACAGTCGTGGTCAAAAGTTTTGAGAATGACACAAATATTGGTCTTCACAAAGTTCGCTGCTTCAGTGTTATGAGATATTTTTGTCAGATGTTACTATGGTATACTGAAGTATAATTACAAGCATTACATAAGTGTAAAAGGCTTTTATTGACAATTACATTAGGTTTATGCAAAGAGTCAATATTTGCAGTGTTGACCCTTCTTTTTCAAGACCTCTGCAATCCGCCCTGGCATGCTGTTAATTAACTTCTGGGCCACATCCTGAATGATGGCAGCCCATTCTTGCATAATCAATGCTTGGAGTTGTGTGGGTCAGAATGTGTGGGTTTTTGTTTGTCCTCCTACCTCTTGAGGATTGACCACAAGTTCTCAATAGGATTAGGTTCTGGGGAGTTTCCTGGCCATGGACCCAAAATGCCGATGTTTTGTTCCCCGAGCCACTTAGTTATCATTTTTGCCTTATGGCAAGGTGCTCCATCATGCTGGAAAAGGCATTGGTCGTCAACAAACTGTTCTTGGATGGTCGGGAGAAGTTGCTCTCGGAGGATGTGCTGGTACCATTCTTTATTCATGGCTGTGTTCTTGTGAGTGAGCCCACTCCCTTGGCTGAGAAGCAACCCCACACATGAATGGTCTCAGGATGCTTTACTGTTGGCATGACACAGGACTGATGGTAGCGCTCACCTTGTCTTCTCCGGACAAGGTGTTTTCCGGATGCCCCAAACAATCGGAAAGGGGATTCATCAGAGAGAATGACTTTATCCCAGTCCTCAGCAGTCCAATCCCTGTACCTTTTGCAGTATATCAGTCTGTCCCTGATGTTTTTCCTGGAGAGACGTGGCTTCTTTGCTGCCCTTCTTGACACCAGGCCATCCTCCAAAAGTCTTCGCCTCACTGTGCATGCAGATGCACTCACACCTGTCTGCTGCCATTCCTGAGCAAGCTCTGCACTGGTGGTGCCCTGATCCCGCAGCTGAATCAACTTTAGGAGATGGTCCTGGCGCTTGCTGGACTTTCTTGGGCACCCTGATGCCTTCTTCACAACAATTGAACCTCACTCCTTGAAGTTCTTGATGATCCGATAAATGGTTGAGTTAGGTGCAATGTTACTAGCAGCAATATCCTTGCCTGTGAAGCCCTTTTTGTGCAAAGCAATGATGGCGGCACGTGTTTCCTTGCAGGTAACCATGGTTAACAGAGGAAGAACAATGATTTCAAGCACCACCCTCCTTTTTAAGCTTCCAGTCTGTTATTCTAACTCAATCAGCATGACAGAGTGATCTCCAGCCTTGTCCTCGTCAACCCTCTCACCTGTGTTAACGAGAGAATCACTGACATGATGGCAGCTGGTCCTTTTGTGGCAGGGCTGAAATGCAGTGGAAATGTTTTGGGGGGATTAAGTTCATTTTCATGGCAAAGAGGGACTTTGCAACTAATTGCAATTCATCTGATTTCTCTTCATGACATTCTGGAGTATATGAAAATTGCCATCATCAAAACTGAGGCAGCAGACTTTGTGAAAATTAGTATTTGTGTCATTCTCAAAACGTTTGACCACGACTGTAGGTCATGACTCCATGGGCCCTCTCTTCAATTGTAAGAAACTTGAGTAGAGTAAACTTGAGTAGAGTACAGTACAGTATAGAAGAGTAGAGTACAGCAGAGCACAGTAGAGTGTAGTATAGTACAGTACATAACTGCACAGCACATTGTAGACGTTAATGTTTAGGCTATTGAAAGGTTGGAGCTCCGTGCTAGCTATGGATCTCAATACTCATCACTTTTTCTTAAAGTCTGCACTTGTCCATTACCCACATGGTGGTCCTCTGTAGCTCAGTTGGTAGAGCATGGTGCATGCAACTTTAAGATGGAGATAGCCTCAAAGTGCTACCCGTGATGTCAAAGACACAGATACAAATAATGAGACTTCTTTCTATCTATATGGTTTCAATTGTTTTGGTTGTGACCATTTACGTTTGGACAATTTAGACTTATTTTGGACTTTAATGAACCCCCATAGCTAGCATATGGCTGGCTAGCTTTCATTTGGACAGATGTACATCTCAGGTCAACACT